TTCCCCACAAAAGCTATGCAAACTGGGGAGGCTGAGGATACAAATACAAAAGAACCCAAAGTTAAGGTACAGGAATACCCTCCCTCATGAAAGACTACGCGGCATCCCACACTTGAATACTTGGTCAAAGCAATTATAATCCATGACATATACAATCCCCATTCTATCAGGCAAAAACTACACCCAACACGCTATATGAAATACAATTTCCATTTATTTCCCCCCAGAGAACTTTCTTCACTCTTTTGAAGACTCAGCTCCTTACATGGGCTTTGGTGGAGGTCGTGGAGCAGCACCCTGAAAGACAAAGGAATGAAAGAGTAATTAAAGACTGTCCCCTCAAAGAACCTGACCATGACTCTCCCATCACTAACAATGTATTTAGGCCATAAGTGAATGGAAAACTGATAGATGTGAAAGTAGACCACACTACTCATTCCAAAAAAATTCTCTTCTAAGTGACTCTAAGTAAATGTTTTAGGTGTGGGTCCCACCTACCTCATCAGACTTAGCTGACCTCACCACAGGTGGACTTTAATTTGACAACCCTTGGTTTGTACACCACCCCTCTGGCATCCACATCTCCTTTTTGGTACTTACCGCAGGTCTAAATCGGGGTGGGGGTGTTCGGTCCTTCCGGGCTTCACGAGAACGATTCCTGACTACCTTGCTGTGAATGGCACAGCTCACACAGTAATGCAGCTTCACATACAGCTTGGGAAGCACATAGGCTAAGATGGAAAAGGAACAGAATGTTAAATGCACGTAAACGCCTGTCAGCATACCTACACCATTTCACTCCCAAGTTCAGTTTCTGTTGCCTAACTAAACACATGCAATTTCACAAATGAGTAACACTCTAATTCTTCCTATCACCAAGGGGACCAAGCCCACATCCCAGATAAACCAAACATCCTGCTCCTTCAGCAGCTGCACCACCCCCAACACCTACTCCTGGGCACTTTCTTGTTGCCTAAATTTTAGGCCCTAAAAAGCCAATTTGGCTCAGTGGCTAGAGCATCAGCCGGAGGACTGAAGGTCCCAGGTTTGATTCTGGTCAAGGGGATGTATCTCGGTTGCAGCCTAGATTCCCCAACCCTGGTCTGGGCGGGAGGCATCCAATGGATGAGTCTCTCTCACATCCATGTTCTGTCTCTCTCTCCTTTCCATGCTCCCTAAAAACCTATGGAAAGCCCGGCCGGCGTGGCTCAGTGTTGACCTATGAACTATGAGGCCACAGTTTGATTCCTGGTCCAGGCACAAGCCCGGGTTGTGGGCTTGATCCCAGTGTGGGGCATGCAGGAGGCAGGCGATCAATGATTCTCTCATCATTGATGTTTCTCCCTCCCTCCCACTCTGAAATCAATAAAAATAATGTCCCTGGGAGAGGATTAACAAAAGCCAATTTGTCTTAAGAAAAAAAAAAAAGACAATATATCATATTGCCCAGAAACACCGTTGGTGACCAATCCAGACGGCCTCCTACTTGAAACATTCTCCCTGACTTAGTCTGTACGTTTCCACAACAGGCACTCAAATAAAACCGGTGCAAAGGGACTGTTCAGTGTACCATGCTTGTAGTTACTGCTCCCCATCCCCAAACACTGCTACAGAACAAGTTCTGGAAGTGCTTTTGGACTCCCATTCCCTTAAAAAAAAGAAAAAGAAAAGCCCCGTTCTCTTCTACTGGCAACGAGCTTAAAGGTGTATAACCCGCAGGGGATGCTCCCGTGAACTCAGCCCGCGGGGCGCAGGGTAGGCGTTAGGGAGCCTGCAGATGACGCCGGCGGCTTACTCACCGTCGAAGACACTCGCTTCGGAGATGTCCCGAACGGCTGCGGCCTCCACTATGTTTCGGATGACAAACTTCTTAATGGCCTTGTCCTTGGGCACGCACCGGGCGCAGTTGGTGCAACGAATAGGCTGCACATGGCCTCGGCCTTTTTTGGCACGACCGTTATTCCTTCTTTTCTTGGTCTGCATGAGGATAAAGACCTTGTTAGAACGGAGGCGCAACTTGCCCAGCTTCGGCCCCTACCGGCTGCATTCCGCACCAGCCGCCCAAGGAAGACGCCAGTCACATCCCCAGTTCCTCCGCAAATCTCTCTCCAAGCCCGGGGTAAACACACGCTCCGCCCGCTCTTCCTTGGACCCGGCTCCCAAATGCCCCACAATCAGAATCTGCCTCACTCAACCTCACCCAGACCGTCCGCTCCCCACGCGCCCGCACTCACCATCTTGGAAACGAGGACCCGAGAGAGGATCCAGCGCCCGGCCCGCCTCCCTTATATAGCGCGAGATCCCTCCACTCACACCGGAAGAATCCTTAGTTGACGAACGCCAAGAACGGCAACCCACCTTACTCAAATTTTCTTTATTATTCAGCGTTTATGCTGAAATCTAGGGCAGAAAGTCATTTCTCGAGTTTATTTATCGGTGGAACAAGGTGACCATGGGACTATTTTTCCTGATGGCGGAAGAAAATTAAAGTTATACGTCTCCCAGTAGGCACTGCGACGCCCTACCCCGGAAGTAATTTTGGGCGGTACAATTAATCTGGTTTTGCGACGCTCAAAGCGGAAGTTGCCTGGCGCAAGATCACAAATCGCGCGGCCAATTAGAGGCCAGATGGGAAGAGATGCATGGTGGGAGTTGTAGTGCGAAGCAGACAGGCCTTTTGCCCCAAGCACTTAGACCCCGGACGGCTCTACGCCTCCGGGGGACGCTCTCGGCTCACTTCTCTGACAATCCTACTCCTTGGTGTAGGATTGAGAAACGGAGGACCTGGCGGGGAACAAAACATTTTGTTAATTCCTCTTTCCAATATGGAGAAAAACCCACAATGAGGGGGCCAGGGACAAGTGCATTGTTTCTCATTCACCTTTTAATTCTTGGATCCTCTTATCACAGTGCCAGGCACTGTAGTAAGTGCTTTATAAATATTAACTCATTTAATCCTCAACAACTCTATAAAGCAGGTACTATTATTATCCTCACTTTACAGATAGAAGAACGGAGGAGTACTGTAGAGAGGTTAAAACTGAGGTTGCCCAAAGTCACACAGAGCTAGGAAGAGGTGTCCTGGCTCCACTAAACCGCACTGCTTCTCACCCAACCAACAGTGGATGGACAGCCTGGACCAGCGCCTTAAGTAATTTTGACTCAGACTCAGAGTAGAAATACATAGTAGAAATATATGATACTCAATACTTACACAATACACACACACACACACACACACACACACACACACAACTGAAACAAACTTTACGAAATACCCTTATGACATAAAGGTGCTCTGGTATATTCAATTTTTTAAAAAGAAATGCTGATCAAGCTCCACTAAAGTGATTTTGCCTCATTGATGAGTCTGACCCCTGACTGAAACACACTTAAAAAATTATATATATTGATTTCAGAGAGGAAGGGAGAGGGAGACAGAATCATCAATGATGAGAGAGAATCATTGATAGGCTGCCTCCTGCACATCCCACACTAGGGATTGAGCTTGCAACCTTGGCATATGCCCTGACTGGCAATCAAAAGGTGACCTCCTAGTTCATAGGTCGACACTCAATCACTGAGCGACTCTAGCTGGTATGTATGTATATGCTCCATTTACCTCTTAAGAGCCTTCAGAAAACCCTTAGCCTTCAGCAGGAGTGGCTATCTACGGGCAGCCAAACACCTAGGTGTCTCCAAAATTGGAGTAACTAGAATGTCAATGGGACCTACCAGCATTCAGACCCAAGATGATATAGAGGGAGACCAACTGTTCATTTATTCAAGAATCATTCTGGAGTCTGAATACACCAGACTCACTTTCCCTCCAACAACACATCATGGTTTCTCCTAACCTCTAACCCACTTTAGTGGGGTCGAAATTTATTTTATAACTTTTTAAAATATATTTTTTTATTGGCTTCAGAGAGGAGGGGAGAGAGAGAGAGAGATAATAACACCAATGATGAGAGAGGATCATTGATTGGCTGCCTCCTGCATGCCCCCTACTGGGGATGGAGCCCGCAACCCAGGCATGTGCCTTTGACTGGAATCGAACCTGGGACCCTTCAGTCCACAGGCCGATGCTCTATCCACTGAGTCAAACCAGCTAGGGCTTGTTTCCTAACATTTGATTTGGCTTCAAAACAATTTTATTCATAGTCTCTATTTTGAATTTGTTAGTTTCAATGGAGAATGGAAAACGATAGACTCTAGATGGAAGTGTCTCCAATTTTTACTTTAGTAGTCTCATGGACACAGGAAGGCAAACACTACCATATGAAATGGCAGTGAGGTAGATAGGAAGAAAAAAATTTCAGAGTGAAGGGAACAGAAAATAGTTAATATGTATTTAAGTCAGAACCAACTTAATGTGCCTATGTTGGCTTTTCTTGGGATTTTTATGGACTTTTCATTGGCTGCATTCCCTGGCAAAAGGGATGGGCACACACTTTGGTCACACCCCTCTGGTTCACATCCAGGTTCTGTCACTCATTGGCTGATGAGTCTTAGATGAGTTATTTATTCTCTTAGGCTTTTATTTCTTCCCTGGTAATGGTGATCATTTCTTTGTAGGTTGTTTCTACAATTAAACAGGTACTTGGCACAGTGCTTGGCATTTATGAGTGCTCAAGAAGTCATTAACATCGTTCATGTTACTATAACTTGTCCCTGAGCATATAATGTGTTTTGCATACAGTAGGTACTCAACAACAAATGTTTGATAAATTTCTGCTTTGGATAGATAGGCATGTTGGCTTTCTTTCCTACCTTGCAGGCACTTCCGGTAGGAAAATCTCTTCTACTTCCCAATCTAGGTTGAAAATTCTTCTGTAGCAACAGCTTGAATATTCTTGTTCGGTTTCCTCTCAATCTTAGACTTATTTACTTTCAAAATGTTTAGTAGTTAGTACAACATGCTGCAAGGATCTCTGCCCCCGCCCCCCACCCCAAGTAGAAAAACAAGGCAAAGGAAATCTGCAAAAACAACCAGGGTGTTAAATTACTCATGTTTACTTGTAACAGACCTTCAGCCAGTACAGTACAAAACTTACAGTAGTATATCTCCATTACACAAATATTTACTTACAATATATTACATATACAAAATGCTTTGCAATAAGTCTCAAAAGCTAGTTTAACTCCCCTTGAGAAAGGAGAAAAACTCTTTAAAAAGGGGGCAGGGCGGGGGAATCAGAGGAAGAGGAGATGAAGGGGTAAGGTCCAAGGAGACACCAAGCATAGGCTACAAATGAAACCCTGGGAGAGAGAGAGAGAGAGAGAGAGAGAGAGAGAGAGAGAGAGAGAGAGAGAGAAGAGAGGTGGTATTGCACTTGCTTCTGTGTTTTTATTTTTTTTTTGTTCTTCATAACTTCTAATTAAAAATATATATAATATATATTATTTACACAAGGACAGAAGCTGCCAGAAGTATTACAAAATCCCACCTGCAGCTTGGACACTGACACGAGAACACAAAGATCTGGAAAAGTGTCTATTTAGAAATTCTTTTGTGTGTGGTGCTAATTTGAGTATCAGTATAAAAGGAAAACACCTCTTTTCTCCACATGGGTTTCCATGTATTTTTTTCTTTTTTCTTTTTTATGCAAAAGGAGTTGGGAGAGAGAGCGTGAGAGTGTTTGAGTTTCCAGAGCTGAAAGGCTCCAGAAAGTAGGAATTTGTACCTAAGACCCTGGTTAAAGTGCAGTGATGGTCTGGAGAGAGACAGAGTGCGCTTCTCTCCCTCCTTAGCACCTGGTCTTGCCTTCCAGTCTCTGCTCTCATGGGCTCAGAGCACAGCCTCCGAGCACAGTCCTTCATGTTCCAGGAGGTTATAGGTGCCAAATCTGACGGGGGGAGGAGATGGTGGCACCCTAAGGCTCTGATACCCCAGAAGGGACTAGTCCTTATGAGGTGTTACCAAAGATACAGCAGACACAGAAGAGGTGGTAGGTCTACCAGGAAGGGGTTCAACAATCAGAACAATTGAGGAGAACCCGGATATTAATCTCATCTCTGCTGCCATCCTGAAGAAAGGAGTCAGTTCCCATGTTGCTGATGAGAAAACTCTCCCCTTCTCTAGAGACCACTCTCCTCCCAGATCATTCCCCCATCCTCTGCCCTTGGCAGCATCTGTTTATTGCTACCTTGTCAAGGAGGAAAGATCAACCCACAATGCCCCTCCCTGATAATCTGGTTCTCTGGGAGAGACCACATAATGGGGGAGAAAAAGAAGGAAGAAGAGGAGAAATTTTTTAAGTGTCTTCCTTCCCCCGAGGGGGTAAGGTAGACTCTTCTCAGAGCCCCAATCCCAGGGTCTGTTCCTTAGCCAATCCTTTAGCAACCCCCAATTCACCCCTGATAGGGAGTGAGAGAAGTAGGAGGCGAAAGAGCCAATAAGGAAAGGACATGTGGAAAGAAAGGTGGAAAGGAAGAAAAAGGAGAGAGAAGGAGCAAGTGTTACAACTTGTGAGGTGTTGTGTTTGGTTTTCTACTTTTTTTTTTCTTCTTTAAATATAGAAAAACAGCCTTTGGTTTGAATCTCGAGGAAGCAGAGAATGGGATGGCTGTGGCCCTGGGCAGGGAACTCTGGTAGAGAGACCTCCACTTGCAGTGGAGCTGTGTCTCCTCCTGCCCCTTCTCGCTAACCAGGTTACCCAGATAGCCAGGGTCTCTGCAGTAGCCAGGAGGAGAGTGCCCCTCCTGCCCTACATCTGGGAGCTGAGTGTAGAAGGGGGGCAGTCACAGGTGGCCCCCTTTTAGTTGTGCCCATCCCATTCTTGCTGGGACAAGAGTGGGACAGGGTAAGGGGCACATGCCCTTGCTCGTCCTGGGATAATTTTTGGTTACACTGAAAATCAGAAGAGAGAAAAGAGGCACTCTTTCCTCCCGAGGGTGAATCCTGCTGGGTGGGGAGAGAAGAAGGCAGTGTGACCGAGGGGCTGAGATACCCCCTTGTCTTCAGGCAGCAACCCACTGGTTTCTCATAGGACGGGGACTGCAGGAGTCCCTGAGAGCCTAGGGAGGTCACTAGAGTGAAGAAGTTTGAGAGGTGGGAGAGTAAGGAGAATTTTGAACGACCCCTTCCCATGCCCTGGTTCCCAATTAGGCACCTGTGGCTCCCAACGTGTCAGAGACAGAGGATGCAGACCTAGCCTTTTGGCCCCTGAGAATATAAAATTGGGGCACTCCAAGGAGAGAAAAGCTACCACCGAGTAGCCTGGCAGGTTGAAGCAAGTAGAGCAGTGTTGGGGGTTGTTCGAGAAGAGGGAAGAGATATATCACATCCTAGAGGGAGATCCTGAATGTGGGCTTTGGGGAACTCATGTTACTAGGGGGCGGTCAGGACCCTCAGTCCCACAGTGACTGGGGAGAATGTCTTCAGCCCCTCCTACTTCCAAATGAGGGAATTCTTCCTTTGTTTAAGAAAAGTGCAAGCTGCCTAATGTGAGAGGGCACAAGAGGTATGGAGCACCGGGCTGAAGGGTCCCAGAGAGGGGATATAATGCCACAGAGCTAAGGTAGGGCCAGAGGGAGCTATCAGCATCCAAACGGAAGCATCACGCAATGCAAAAGTGAGGACTTAACGCAAGAAGTTCAAGGTCTCTTAGTACTAAGAGGAGCCTCCCACCCCAGGGGCTGTTGGAGAAAGCCAGAACAAAGAGAGAAAAATTAGGCCTAAAGGGGAAGGGGACTGTGAGCAAGAGGATGGAGGAGTGGCAAGTGACTGACAGAAGTTAAAAAATGCAAAAGAAAAATCAGCTAATTATATTAATAAATAACTCTGAGTATGCTGGGATGAGAGGGTAAGAGAAAAAGGAGAAACATAAGCAAAAACCTGTTTCATCACGATGCTTGAATCAGTCAGGGGGAAGGACAGGTGAGAAAGATTCAGGGTCAAGTGTGAAGTCAGGTAGCCAGTGGTGGGGCTACACAGCACAACTTCTTGGGATGTGGTGGGGACAGGGCTAGACTCCTGTATGTGGGGCAAGGGAGTGGCGAACTGAGGGGAGGGCAGTGGGCTGCTAGCCCACCTTGTGCTCCCCCCGGACAATGTGGGAAGAGAATTCATACCGGTCCTGGCTGTGGTAACCACAGATGTTGCACTCGAAAGGGTCTCTGAAGCCATGGCAGCCCATGTGGATGGTGAACATGACATGGTCCAGGAAGAGGATGCGGCAGTGCTCACACTTGAAGGCCTTCACGGGCTCACCGCTCTCGCCCACCACCCGGAGCACTTCCTTCGAGGGGCCTGGGGTGCCCCGCAGTAACCCCTCCTGTGGCTTGGGGTCCTCTTTGGCGTAGGCAGGACTGGGCCGGCCCACCACAATGGTGGGAGGTGGCTGGGGTGGGGGGCCCTGAGGGAGGGATACCACCCCCCCAACCCGATCTTCGTGGTTGCTCTCTGTATCTGTGGAGTCTTGGCACCCATTGCTGGGGGATGCTCCAGGGTCAGTAAGGGGGCCTCGGGCCCGGTAGAGGAGGGGACCACCATCAGCCAGGTCCTCGGGTCCCTCACCTGCTTCTCGGGATCCTGGAAGCTCCAGTCGACCGGGGAGGGGCTGCATCTGGGTGTAGACAGAGCTGATGACGGGCGTGAGTTCTGAGATGCAATTGGTAGGCGGAAGGCGGAGGGGACGCAGGTGCTCTGCCCCCACAAAGGCCAGAGAACCTCCAAAACCAGGCTCCAGGCCGTGATGTGCCACGAGCTCCACATCCTTCTCATAGCCACCCGAATTCACATCGTAGGGCAGGTCCGAGAGGCTGAAGCGCATCTGCTTCTCACCTGTGGAGAGGAGGCTCTCAGCAGAGCTGGGCATGGAGGATTCCTGAGCTCCCCAGGATGATGCCTTTGTTTTCTTACCCACAAGGATGGCTATCACATGATTTACCACTCTTCATTTACTTCCCTGGCGGTTAGGTCCCTTGTGGGGCTGCTCTCCAACTCTAGACTATAATCTTAGAGGTCTCAGTCCCGGGCCACTGATCTTTATCATTCTTGCATTATCTATATCTATATATATAAAAGCCTAAGCAACCTTAATGACCAAATGACCAGAACAACCGGAACGACTGGTCAACCGGTTGCTATGACACGCACTGACCACCAGGGGGCAGATGCTCAATGCAGAAGCTGGCCCCTGGTGGTTAGTGCACTCCTACAGCCAATCTCCCACGGCTGGCGGCAGTGAGGGTGTCTGGACTCTGTTTCTTCTGCGCCTGGCCTGGCGAACCGTTACCTCCTCTCCTGACCCTGCTGGGGCCTTTGGGCCCCGAGCTGGAACAGGGAACTGGGGGTGGGCGGCAGTGGACATAGCCCCTTTCCCGGGGGGCTGAGGGCCGGCTCCCTCCTCGGAACCAGCAGCCAATCTCCCGAGCCCCGTTTCTCCCCTCGGCCAGCAGGCCCCCGTGGGCCCGGCCCTGATTGGCCCTGATTGCCGGCCAGGCCTAGGGACCCCACCCGTGCACCAATTTGTGCACTGGGCCTCTAGTTCTCTATAAAGCTCCAGGTCCTTGGACAGCTGGGCCAGGTGAGGTCCTCATACTCGCCTCTTCCCTCTGACTCAAAGGGCCCAGGTCTCAGTCCCCACAGACTTAAGTCCTTGCTATTCTCAAAAACTAGGAGAACCCTGACACTCTCTTCTAAAACCACCACATGAGCCCTCAACACTAACCCCTTCCACCCTCTCGAGGTACTTTCTCCCTCTTCATTCTGCTTCTATTTTGGGGATAGATTCTGAGGACCAGACTGCTTTCTTTCCTTCAATCAAATCTCCAGACCCAACTGGTCTAATGGCCATCAGAGCTCAGATACAGATGAGCTATGGCTTAAAGCTGATGTCTCCTCTACCACTGGACTCTTACCTACAAACTTCTGGGGGGTGGAACGCTTGCGTTTGGTGAGGCTGTTGGCCAGACGATCAATGAATGTGGGCCTCTCAGAGGATGAGTGCAGCATAGAGTCTGGCACCATCTCCAGGTCACGTATCTCATCACCTAGTGGGGGGAGGTGGGGACAGGGAGTAGCAGCTGAGGAGGGGTAGCACTGGCCCAGCAGCCTTCTCCTGGAGAAAACCAGCAGGTCAGGAGTCACGGAAGGTCATACCTGATGCTTGGGAAATTAGGTCAGCTTACTTCATTATTATCCCAGCAACAGGTTAGATAATTTGGGGACAATTATATACATCTGACCCTCAATTTTATACTTCCTTGTAGTCTCTCTCTCTCTCCTATTAGACTAAGAACATAGATCAAATCCTCCCCTACCTCTGGGTCCTTCTGCAGCATTTACCAGGGGCTCTGCACTAACTGGGGTGCTCGGCACCCTAATTACTGAGGTAATTGTCCCTTCCCCATGGACCTCACCCCTTGTGCAGGCAAGAGCTGGAATCACCCTTGTCCTGTACTCCCTCCCTCCGGCTCTGCCCTCAACTCCCCCGTAGTCCTGCCCACAGCCCACCTGGCTGGCCGGCCAGAGCTTGGGCTTCAGTGCTGAGACTCTGCAGGTAGTTGTGGCACCGCTCCTTGTGCTCCTCCAGGGTACTCTGCTGCTTGTAGCTCCGGCCACAGTAGTTACACTTGTAGGGCTTACCCACCGTGGGAGAGGAGACTGTGCAGGAGAGAGGAAGCAAGTAGCATCAAGGTTACTTTTCCCAGTGCCCTGGCTCTACACAGCCATCTAGGAGCAAAGGGACACTGAGGAGGAAGGGATCCTGCTCCATCGAATTCTTCTGCTTGTCTTCCCTTCCCCAACTGCAGCTGTGAGCATGGGCAGATGACCAAACCTCAGAGAAGAGGCACAGTGGCGGCTATGGGAAGCGAAAGGGGACGCCCAGGTCATGTAGCACTGGGTTGCTGATAAGACTCAAGATGGCCAAATGGCCCTAACCGGTTTGGCTCAGTGGATAGAGCATCGGCCCTCGGACCAAAGGGTCCCAGGTTTGATTCCGGTTGTAGGCTTGATCCCCAACCCTGGTCGGGTAGGGGTGGGAGGCAACCAATCGATGTGTCTCTCTCACATTGATGTTTCCCTCTCTCTGTCTCGCCCCCTCCCTTCCACTCTCTCTAAAAATAAATGAAAAAAATATCCTTGGGTGAGGATTAACAACAACAACAAAAAAGATGGCCAAATTGCTGCTCAGAGGAAAGAAGAGCCCAGGGACTTGGTAGGGGATCATCCCTGGCAGGCAGGCTGGCCCCACCCCAGGATCTCAGAGTCTGAGGCCCACACTGTGGTTTAACCTTTCCATGTGGCAGGCGGTGTCAGCGCTGTTTACCAGACAAGGGGATTTTTTGCTTACGAACTATCTGATTTGGTTTGGGGGAAACTGGTGGGCTGGGGTGACAGAAATGAGAGTCCTTAGATCTGCTGATGTGGGGAGGGGCAGTTTTCACTGACCTTTGCTTGTCCTTTTTTACCTCTACTGCCAGCCCAGTTTTGCTGCTTATTATTCTTTCTGTCGTTCTACATTGAGATACAAAGAGAGCCCCAGAAAAACCATCATCTGATGGAGAACTTTGAGAAGAGAAAAAGAATAACAGAGCAGAGAAGAAAACAATGGAGAGGATATAAAAAGAAGAGGGCAACTTTGGAGGTGCTTTTTTTAAAGAACAGGAAATAAGGATTTTGTTTCTAGTGAAGAGAACAGATTGGGAAGACTGAGATCGATACTTCCTTGAAAGACAGCTTTTGAGAGATGATGTTTGTGAGAGGAGAGAAAAAAGTGAGAGAAACAAGGTATTGTATATTTTAATTTATGTGTCTTGCTACTACTGAGCAGGGGCTAGGAGAAGTATCTCCAGGAACCCTCTCCCGGCCCATGCCTGACCTGCACCTTGACTCAGCCAATCTACTACCATCTTGCTCTTGCTCGGTGTTTGTGGGATGAGATTAAAGTCACAGACTCCATTGACCTAAGACTCTGATGTTAGGGGAATGTTTTAACATCTGAGAGGAGCCCTCTTTTTCTTATAGTGTGGGCTGTAAGAGAAAGCATCTCATAAAGGCGGGACCCAATAGTATATCCGTGTCTTCTTCTGGCCCCAATAATCTCCTACAGAACCTCCCAATCCCACCCGAACCCCTGCCTTGCTGTTGGTAAGATTTCTAGGGGCCAAGCCACCCTTGTTCCAAACCAGCAGGGGCGGGCCCCTTTCCCCAGGACCTTGATGGGGTTCCAGTGAGGATGCAGAAAGAATAGCTCTGTGACTGGCAAATCTTTTCTTCTTTTTCAGTTTCCTTGTCAGCAAAATGGAGGTAGTAACATCTACCTCGGAATTGTTATGGGGATCACATGAGGAGACAAGTGAAATGCTTTGTAGAGGATAAAGCATGGGCCAATGATGCTCTTTCTCTCTGTTGTTCCTCCACATACACAGAGGTAAAGAGGTCCCAGCTCCCAGGTGAGAGCAAGGCAGGTGGCTGGAAAAAGTAGAGGGTGGGGAGGTGATCACTTTGTCCCTTTAAATCCTGGCCCATGAGAGTTTAGGAAAAGAGAAAAATAGCAAAGAACATTGCCAAGGACAGACCCGACTAATTCTTTACCCTCTGCCCTCCTTCCTCCTTTTCCCGTCTTGAGCTCCCTCCTTCCTGCCAGCTCAGCTCCTGACCTTTTCCCAAGTCCAAGCCCAAAGCTCAAAACTTAGTGAAAGGCTTCAAAAGTGCTATCTGTCCAGCTGATTAGGCAGATGTTGATTCAGTCTGGGCTGGGCTAGAAAATCGAGTCAGTCCAGTTCCCGGGCACCGTTCCAAACCCTGAGCTCCGGGCACTCGCTCTCGCTCCTGGTCCGGTGATGACCTCTTGGGATGGGGAACAGAAATGGGATCATCTTCATAGGCTTCCTTCCCTCCAGTTTGGGAGGCCCGTGGATGTTTTCAGGAACCAGGAGGAAGTCAAGGAGAGGACAGAAGCGGGCAAAGATGGTGACAAGTGTGGGGCCTGGGGCAGATATGAGGGAAGAAGGGGTCACCCTGGTGCTCAGAAGTGGGGGGTGATGGGGCACAGATGGTTCTGCATCAGCATGACCTTTAAAAATATCAGGCATGGCCTGGCTGGTTTGGCTCAGTGGATAGAGCTTTGTCTGCGGACAGAAGGGTCCTGGGTTCGATTTCGGGCAAGGGCACGTGCCTGGGTTGCGGGCTCGATCCCCAGTGTGGCGCGTGCAGGAGGCAGCCGATCATTGATTCTCCATCTCTCTCTCCCTCTCCCTGCCTCTCTGAAATCAATAAAAATATTAAAAAATAAAAATAAAAATAGCCAGGCAGGGAAGGGTGACTGTTAAGACCCAAGAACATTGCCTGTGCTCCTTTTGCTCTCCACGTTACAGAGTGTGGCAGATGCAAAATGCCTATCAGAGTCCCCCACATGTGCCACGGGGCTGCTGCCTGGAGGAGGGTTACAGAGGCAGGGCCCTGTCCACTCCGGGGGTGCTCTGCCCTCCTGGAGAACAAACACTGCATCCCACAGAGACAAGAGAAGTCGCGGGGTGTCTTGGGGTCCCACCTCCCCCTCTCCCACTGGAAAGGTCACTGACCCGAGTGTGTTCGGAGGTGGCCAGTGAGCGCGTCCCGCCGGCGGCAGGCGTAGTTGCAGAAGGGGCATTTGAAGGGCTTCTCCCCGGAGTGCAGCTTGATGTGGCGCAGCAGGTTCCCCTTCTGGGTGAAGGAGGCTCCGCACTGGTTGCAGTGGAAGGGCCTTTCGCCTGCGAGGGAAAGAGAGGTGCCGGGGACTGGCTGTGAGGGACTCTGGAGGCTGAACCCAGCCCCCCCACCCCCACCCCTGCCCCACACTGGCTCAGGGAACGGGCTCAGAACACATTTCTGAGAGGCAAGGCTGTGCCACTCATACTGATCCTGCTTAATACAGATCCCTGGGGCAGTCTGATCCTGGGAAGGTGTGGATAAGGGGCTGTGGCAGGGAGAAGCGAACTAGACCTGGAACATGGGGCCGAAAGACCCTTATCACAAACCAAGCCCCATCGGGCTCTCACTGCCGCAGGAGCCCAGAGCCCAAGGAAGCTGAGAAGAGGCTTCTATATTCCGTATTTTTTCTTTATTCATCGATGGGAGGGCCTAAATAATATCCAGGAGTCCTATCCCCATTAGGTATAGGATCCTTCTCTCTCTCTTTTTTTAAATCCTCACCCGAGGATATGTTTTTTGGTTGTTATCCTCATCTGAGAATATTTTTCCCCATTGATTTTTAGAGAAAGTGGAAGGAAGTGGGGGGGGGGGGGGGAGAGAAACATCAAAGTGAGAGAGACACATCAATTGGTTGCCTCCCGCATGTGCCCAACCGGGCCAGGGATCGAACCTGCAACCCAGGTACATGCCCTTGACCGGGAATCGAACCCACCACCCTTTGGTGCACAGGCTGATGCTCTCAGGATATGTTTTTTTGTTTGTTTGGTTTTTTAAAATATATTTTTATTGATTTCAGAGAGGAAGGGAGAGGGAGAGAGAGATAGAAATATCAATGATGAGAGAGAATCATTGATTGGCTGCCTCCTGCATGCCCCACACTGGGGATCGAGCCCGCAACCTGGGCATGTGCCCTTGATTGGAATCATACCCGGGACCCTTCAGTCCTCAGGACGACGCTCTATTCACTGAGCCAAACCAGCTAGGGCAAGGATATTTTTAAAAAATTAATTTCAGAGAGAGGAAAGAAGAGAGAGAGAGAAACATCTACTGGTTGCCTCCCATATGTGCCCTGACTGGGGATTGAACCTACAACCTAGGTATGTGCCCTGAGCAGAATCGAACCCGCAACCTTTCGGTGTATGGGATGATGCTCCAACCAACTGCGCCACCTGGCCAGAGCTAGGATCCTTCTTGAGGCTACAATACTTTCCCCTCCCTCACTTCCTCAGAAGAGTATTGGCTTTTCTTTATAGTAAGAGCTGAAGAAAGTGCCAGGAAAGTATAGGCATTCAGGGAGGCTGAATTTCAACCCTTTTTTCCCCTCCCTCAGCTAGAATATGTGCCAGGAGAGACCCTTCCCTTTCCGAGGCTACCCCACCCAGGCATGGCCTCCCAGCACTGCCTCTGCCTCTCGGGCCCACGTGGGAGTTCCTCCCTGGTCCCTTGGCTTACTCACCTGTGTGACTGCGTTTATGCACCATGAGCACGTTGGGTCCAATGCAGACCATGCCACAGACATCACATTTGAGCTTGCCATTGGGCAGCCGAATGCCACCAGGGGAGTGAGGCTCTGGCCCACTTCCATCACAGTAGCCCAGGGGCTCCGACAACGAGTCTTCCACGATCACACTATCGTCCTTTTCCAGGAGCCGCTCATCTGGCCCCAGCAGTCTACTCGACTCCTCATCGCTGTACATCTCCACCTTGATGGAGTTGGCTGGAGGGTGGGATGGTGTTTAGGACAGAGACAGGCAAAGGGGAGAGCCTTCCCCCAGGCCAGAATGGCCCTCCCGAGTCCAAAGGAGTCTCTGAGCCCTGAGGCCTTCAGGCTTCAAAGGAGGCCTTACCCTAGGTGTCCAGAGTGGTGACACCAGGGTCCTGCTGGGACCCGAAGCAACCTTGTCCTCCTACCCCACCGGTCAGGCAAATAGGCTTCGAGGGAAAAGCACTGGGGAGAGGAGGAAGCTAAGGGGAGCCTATTTCTCCACTCTCTTGTCATTAAGAAAGATGTCTGACTTGGCCCTGGGCAGGAAGCCAGCAAGTAACAGTGTCAGGAAAACAGTCCTAGAAGTCCGAAGAGACAGGACTAAAGAGAGAGTAAAACTGGGAGACCGACACGGCCTACATTCTCCTCCCACCCCGTAAGACTGAGCCCCTCTCCTCCCTCCATCACAACCGGAGGGGGATGGAGGAGGGGGAGCCATTGAGGAGAAAGCTTTGGCTCTAGCTCTGACCTACATTCCTGGCTATTCCAACCATTTGGAGAATGTCACAGATCTGGGGCCAGCTGAGAAGAGGCAGTCCTGGGGACCCTCTGGGCAGGAGACTCAGGGGGGTGATGAGGAGACCCTTCTCATGTCTGTTTCCTGTCTACCTCCAGCTCGTGCCCATTGCTATCGACCTGCTATTCTCACTCCAGACTTTCTCTTTGGGGCCTTTACCTTAATCCCACCCATGCCTCTGTGAATTCCACCCTTGCCTGGCAGTGAGAGTTCATTCTTCTTTCAGAAGTGAGGGAAATCCCAGACACGGAGCTCCTTAGTGATTTGAGAGACTCTGAGCAGGAAACCAGAGGGAGGCAGCGATGGGGAAATGGCTGCCAATGGAAGATGAATCGAGGGCCAAACACAAACAGGGACGCCTTGTGCCAGGCGAGGGGAGGGGGGCGCACTTACCACTGAGTGAGCGGCTGGGAGAAGAGTGCTGGCTGTTGGGGGTGCTCACCGAGGGCCCCACTGGGGCCCCAAGGAACTCCTTCTCCAGAGATGAGTCCCCGCTACCTTAGAGGAGAGAGCAAGAGGGCAGGTGAAGCTGTCGCCATTAGTAAACTGCCTCATCTTTTCAAAACTCAGTTACATGGATCTTGTAGCCGTGTACAAGGCCGTGTTGGACGCTGGGCACCATACCTTGTGCCCTGGCCAGCCTGGGTGCCCGTGCTGACTCCGCGAGCTCCGTGGCTGGGTCTTGCCCACCCTACCTTTATCTAGGCCTGAGGGGAAGAGCATCACTGCCTGACGTCCACAGGAAGCAGGGCTGGGGCTGGGCGGGCCGGGGCAGAGAGGAAAATGGGGGCCTCAGCAGGGAGGCGTTCAGGACAGCCGGTTCTTCCCTACTGTTCCTCTCCGGAGCCCCCAACACCAGGTACGGGATCTGCAGGAGGGGCGGCTGGAATTGTCCCTGAATCTAATGATAATAATAGCAATCATAACGATGGCAGCTCACATGAACTGAGTGCTTACTATGTGCCAGGCAATGTTCATACACCTTAATTGAACTATTTCATTTACAACAACCCAATGAAGTAGGTACCAATATTATCCTAATTTCACAGGTGAGGAAACTGAGGCACAAAAAAGGCTGCATTACTTGCCCAAGGTTATATAGCCAGTAGCGGTAGAACTGGAAGCTGATCACATAAAAGAAGTGCCCATGTCCTTAACCACCACCTACCCAGCCAACTGGGACTCACTGTTTCAGGAGGGGGGATCTGGGCTCATTAGATTGTCTAAAATTAGCGAAATTTGACTACTCTAGAAAGCGTCCTATTTGATATGACTTCAATCAGATATTTACAACTTGGTATTCCCTTGACAGTGAAATAATCAGTTTATTTTCATTATATTCATTTTAACTTGTTGACAAATTGCATTGTAAAAATGCTTTTTGAGAAGTTCATATATCTTTTAAAAAATCAGATAACACACCTAAAGATATAAAAAAAATCCCTCCTCCCCACAATCATTTACACAAATACATAGGTGAAATAAAGGACATGTAGACAAACACACACAGACACAGACAAGATCACATATGTAGATACACATACAGAGAACATACCTACTGGGATAAACATACTCATAGCCTCTATAGTATCTGCTAACATGAACATGCATGGATGTGTGCAGACAGCCCTAAATATGGAAGAGAGAGAGAGAGTGAGAGAGAGAGAAACCCTAAAATTCATCCCTAAAATCCACCTATTAGTACTTTACCCAATTTCCCAGCTATGAACATACTTACTTTCACAAAATAAAGATTCCATTATAAAATGGTTGGAGTCTTGGGCCTGAGGCAAGAAATCCGGAACACACCCTCCTGAGGGATCCCTCTCCAGCTTTGGTCAGTGGGAAGAAAACAACCACTCAGGACTTTGGGACCATTTCCCATTCATATCCTCTCCTAAAAGTCCCATTTCCCGCACGCTATCCCATCAAAGTCTAAGGAAATTGTTTACTACCTATAGGAAAAGCTTTATGGCTTAAAACCGAGTTTCCCCAGCTGGGGCTCTTTAGATGAGCCATGGTTATCTACAAACGTTGCCCAAATCAGAACCACACATATCACAAAGTGAGCATCTCAGTGTGAGCTGAGACTTGGAGACCCAGACCCAGTTTTAAAATATGTCATTTAAACTATGCGGAGGGTTTACTGAGGTGAGAAGGGTTGAAAGGGCATCTTCTCATTCCTTTTCAATCCTTAGTGCTGACTTGCCCTAAATCTCTCAATGTTAGCAACAGGGAAGAGCAGGGCTCTCTCTGGGCCCTGGCCCTGAGTCCTTGACCCTGAAAGGAGTAGGAACTCCCTGGAAGTCCATCGCTGGTCCCAGCCTACTAGATTGAAGCTGCCTCTTGGGGCCAGAGCCTTGATATATGGGGAGAAATATCCTTAAAGGGATAGGTAGAGACATTAGGGGGAATATCCTCTGTGGCTCTCCCTATTACGGCCTGGGAACAGGAGGAAGAGCAGGTGCCTCCAGGATCACGTCAGTAGTTCAGGAGGCTCTCTGATGCCGCTGCCCTCCCGAGGATCAAGGCCAGAGGGGAAGCAGGCTCAAGTCTACTTCAAGGGGCTAATGCATACAAGTGAGTCATTCCGGGGCATAGACAATCTTTATGGGGCCCCAGGGATCGTGATTTCCAGCGAAGGGGAGAAGGGGACTAGAATCAGATTTGGGAAGTTCAGCAGTTCTCCTCTCAGCCTCAGAAACCCCAGTGAGGGAATTTCAAATGCCTGGGACTCCCAGGAAACCCCAGACTGTCCAAGCCAAGCATTAAGGCTGCTCTCAGGTCTCAGAGACATTTTCTTGGTCAAAGTCATCATCGATTGCCTGGACCCCTGGAGGGCAAAGCCAAATCATGAGGCTCACCTCAGAGGCACGAGGAGGTGAGTCCGGTGCAGAAAGGCAGGAGGGAGACAGACATCCCCCAAGCTAAGGAGGGAGTCCGCCGCCTGCTCCTCTGCCCTTCCCAAACCCTCCGAGGGGCTACTTCTAGGGATGGCCGGGAAGCGGGGGAGCCTCCACGCTCCTCTGCAAGGGACCTAGTCCTACCGCTTTCCCTTTCTTGCCCAGCAGCTCCAAGGTGCCGGCAGCGAACAGCGGGTCCAGGAGCAGAGAGAGCCGCCCATCCCCGGCTCTATTGTGGGGAGGAAGCCGAGGCCCCTCGCATCTCCGTTCCAGGCGGAGGCATCTGCTGCCAAGGCGCCTCTTCACCTCGACCCTCCGCTACCCATGCCCACCCGGGCCGTCTCTGTCCCGGCATTTCCCCGGGACGGCTCGCAGCTGTCCCCAAGGCCTAATCAAGATGTCACCACGAGCTCCCACTGTCCAAGTCGCAGCCTGCGCTTAGCAACACCAAACACCCTCTCCCATCCTCGGCGGGTGCGAGGAGGAACGCCCCCTCCCCCGCCACACACGCGCAGCCCCCATCCTCTGCCTCTCCTCCGTCTCGGGAGTTGTGGCGGCATCGGCTCCCTCGCCCCGGCACCCCCTCGCCCCCCGCCGCTGACCGCCTTCTGCCTGGACTTACATTATCCTTCCCTGGCCGGTGAGACCCCGGGGTGCGAGCGCGGCCGCCGCCTTGGAAACGGCGAGGGGGTGCGGGTGGTGTGTGCATGTCTGCGTCTCGGTGGCAGGCAGGGGTGAGCCCAGCCACTCACCTTCCAGGAAGCGTGGATTCCTGGAAGTGAGGGGAACCGCCGTCATTTCGCAGGCAGCGGCGGCGGCACGGTGAGCAGGGGCCCACGGCTGCAGCCAGCAAGAGCTCAGCCCAGGGTGTATGCATGTGAGTGTGTGTGTGTGTGAGAGAGTGTGTGTGTGTGTGTGAGAGAGAGAGAGAGAGAGAGAGAGAGAGAGAGAGAGAGAGAGAGAACGCTTGGATGTGCTTGAGGAGGGGGCTGCAGAGAATGTAGAATGTATATGTGTGTGTGTGTGTGGGGGGGGGTGCTAGGCTACAGCATCTCTTTCCCAAGCCAGTGCAGGGGCGGGGGTGGGGGGTGTGCACAGGGAGCGGGAGGCAGATGCCGTTGCCCTCGTGCCCAGCAGACAAAGAGGAACTGCACAACAAATGCCTGAGAGAAGCAAGTGTGTGCAAGAGAGAGATGGATGGGCCCTCGGGGTGGGAGGGAGAAAGGGGGCCCCCAGGGAAGGCCCAATCCTCTTCCAGCTGGGGAGGCCAAGGCCCCAAGAGGTCATGGGGCCCAGGACGTGGGGCAGCTTCAAGGCGCTCAGATCCGCAGAAAGCCCCTCCCCCACCAAACTCAGGCACTGATTCCCTCCTCTCCCTCCTCCTCCAGGAGGGAGGTCGCTCTGTCGGATCTGGGGACGGACAGTTCCCTCCTTCTCAGCGGTGAGAGGGCTCAGCACAGTCTGGTCTCAGGCCGGTGTGGCTCTGTGGCCCTGAGCCCTTTCAGATCCCGGGCAAAACGCTGGTCTAGTCTCCCTGCCGCCCCTCCCGGCCTGTGCCCCTGGGGCCGGCTGCCTGCCTGCAGCCCTGGATGAATCCGCCCTCTATCAAGACAAGGCCTCCGCTCCCTTCCCTTCCAGAGGAGCTGCTCAGTGACGTGCTGACCTACTTTGGAGACTAGGTTTTCTGATTCCAAGAATTTGGGGGTGGGAGGGGCTGTGACACTTTGGGCTGCCTACCCCTGGATCTCTTTCTACTGAGGTTCCCTTGAACATTTCGGGGTCCCAGAAAATTTGGGACAAGCACTGCTCAAACAGTTCTATGAGCCAGTCCCAGCAACTCGGCTTCCCTGGAGAGAGGGAATGGGGAGGGGAGAGGCTCTGGATGGTAAATCAATGACTCTTCCCTCTCCCCCCCAGGAGGGAATCGTCTGCACCTTTAGAAAAGATGGGCTTTCGGAACTGGGTTCTGTGAGGTGGGAAGACCCAGGTGAAGAACAGGAGAGAGACGCCCTTCATCAAGTGGCCAGGCGAGGAAAGGCCACCGGGTGTGGAGGCAGAAGAGCTGGGATGGCCTCACAGGAGCCACTGGGGTGCTTTGGGAGGGTGTGCACTGCGTCAGCCTCCCCCGCTGCCTCCATATCACTCCAGGAGAGATGGGTCAGATGGCCCGCGGGTGGACTGTCTCGGCCATGCTCAGTTCTGCAGGGGCTGCTACTTTTCAGGGTTCATGTTGGCCCTATCTGGGTTTTCCCTTCTCCCTCTCTAAGGTAGCTGCTGACGTCTAGAATTCTCAAAACACAGGTAAGAGGTGGCTGACCTCTACTTTCACCCAAAAAGCCATCCTGTGCAGAGGCCTCTACTTATACAGGACATGCCAACCTGCTGAAAGCAGGGGAAGTTTGGTTTCATAGCACAGTAAAGCAAACACCCTCAGAAATTTTCCTCTACTATCCATGATTCTCCAGAGATAGGGCTGAAAAGAGCCTGTCGTATTTCCTCGCCCACCTTCCTGGTTTCTCTTCTGCCTACCATGGAGCAGGGACTGGTTTTCATCCGCCTGAGCGGTCCCCGGCAATAAAGCAGGGTCCTGAGTGTGCTTGTTGCTCTGCAGTGGTTTTCTGAATAGGCTTAATGAGCAGGAGGTGGGAGGGTTGGCTGGTTCCTCAGAAAGGCTATGGCTTTCAAACCAATAAAGCCTCTTTCAGTTATGTCAGTCCCCTTGATCCCTGTCACCCTGTCCAGATGTGGCAGGTACTGAATGCCTTTGCCCATTCCAATTCCTTCCCTCCTGAAATGAAAAACGGGTCAGAGTTGTCTTCCCTTACATTACCCAGGAGTCGTCAGTGACTCTTAAATGTGTGCCTGATCCACCCTGCTATCTCCCTCAGTGCATGCCCAAACTTCCTCCACAAGTCCCACTTGAGGGGAAAAAAAAAAAGCTAGAGGTCACTTCTACAGTGGTGCTTGAATATCTGAGGGGGATACTCATCATGTCAAAACCCAATTCTGGCTTCCCTTACCTCGTATAATCATTTCCTGCCCTGGCATGCTAATGGTCCAAAAAACGATTCCTTCCATCTTAGACACACTCTGTCTTGGGCCCTTTCCTATACCCTCAGCGCGGGAGCCAGATAAAGTTCCTCCTTTCTTTTCACCTTGTTAAACTCTGAGAGCATCTTGATAACTTTCCTATCTCTAAAAGCCAGGCTTACCATGAGCGATGATCTCTTCTGCCTCAGTAAGAGTATCTGGCAGATATGAAAAGCTGTATGTTCTGATCACTGAAAAGGACTGGGGGAAAGGAGAATTGAGCGCTGTATCTCCACTTCAAAGGCTGTAAGCCATTGGTCCACTGGCCAGATTCAGCCTATAGATAAGTCTGGTTTGCCCCATGAAACATTTTCTTTTTAAATTGAGTCATTATTTTTATATAAAATCTGGATTTTTGATTTCTCTTAAACAATTGGAAGTTTTGGCCACACTGGCTACACACACACACACACACACTCCCACACGGACACTGAAGAGCTGTTGCTCCTTGAGGAAGGACGTATGTTTTCCAGTTCATGACAGTCCCCACCATTCTCTTCTGCTCATTATTCTAACCCAGGTCATTCATTTATATACCCATCTGCCTCCCCGCCCCCCCCCCCCACAGGCCTTTGAGGTTTGAAACCCTGCTCTACTCTCTATTAAATATCATGTTTGCTGGCGACTTCAGAGAACAGAAGGAACTACATCTTCCTTCCATCTCTTTGCCTCAAATCATTCCTCTCTAATAGTCTCTACTCATATTCCTCTCTTGTTCCCTTCTCCTATCACCCAAGAAGCCTGGGAAGAAAATCACGAAGGAATGTAAAATGACCAAAATAAATGATTACTATCAAGCACTAGTAAGTGTGGGTGTCGGCTCTGTGACTAGGGCACTCAGAGGTCTGCGGGGCTGAAGGCGCTGCTCTACAGGGGTGTCTGCTCCCAGCCCCTTACAAAGAGAATGCTCAAGAGGGCATACCAGACATATAGGAGCGGCCATTGCAGTCTTCTATGTCCATCTTAGATTCTGCTGAAAAAGAAAATAGCTGCTATTAGAAGCCAGAACTGGGAAGGGAAGAGGTTTCTCTCTAACATCCTGGAGTTAGCAAGAAACCTAAAAGATCACTTAAGTGTGCTCTGAAGAAGAAAAACCTCATCCCTTATCCTGGTGAGGAAGACAATGTACCCTGACTTACAAACCCTGGGGCCTCCTCCAACCCACACCTTCTGTTTCCCAGGCTCTGGGGTGGAAATGCTCTCATTTCAGAGTGGTCCTGGTTGTGTTGTTCTGAGAGGAGACCTTTTCCTTGTGGGTGGAGCTAATGTGTAGGAAATGAGGCAGGTTACAGCTCAGCTCAGCCCAACCCTTGAGAGGCAAAAAAAAAAAAAGTTCCATAAGGGCTCTATACCTTGTTAAGGATAGGGTAGTAGTAAGAGGAGGAGGCAGGATTCAGTCGGTCAAGGGATTCTGTTTTGTGTGTGTGGCAGAAGGGAGAGGACAGGAAAGTAGAAGGTGGAGGAGAGCAGCCCACCGCAGGTTTAGTGAGGAGAGTTCTCTACTGAAGGTAGATAAACAAATTAAACCTTTAAGTGGCCCTCCCCACCTTCTTGTCAATACTTTGATATGCTTATTGCTTTTAAAGAAGGGGGGACCCTGAATTTGGAATGCAGGTTAGCCCTGGCCTGTTTGGCTCAGTGGATAGAGCACTGGCCTTTGGGCTGAAGGGTTTGGGCTGAATTCCAGTCAAGGGCACATGCCCTAGTTGCGGCTCGATCCCCACTAGTGGGTGTGCAGGAGGCAGCTGATCAATGATTCTCTCTCATCATTGATGTTTCTATCTCTCTCTCCCTCCCCCTTCCTCTCTGAAATTAATTTAAAAATAAAATAAAAAGAGTGGGGCAAGGAAATGAATAGCCTAAGCTGCCTCCAAGATTCTTGGTTTTGAAGGATCTCACTGAGGCAGGTAGATGCAAATTTGGTTTGCTTATAATATTATATTGATAGAGCCAGGGGTGGGGCTGGGGGCTCTGAAGGGCACACAGGGGTAAAATCTATTTTTTATTTTTCTGCTTCTTTCCCTTCCCTGGTTATTCCTTTTTTTTTAATTCTTACCTGAGGATTAAAAAAACATTTGTTTTTTAAAAATGTATTTTCATTGATTTCAGAGAGAGAGAGGGAAAGAAAGATAGAAACAACAATGATGAGAGAGAATCATTGATCTATCTGCTGCCTCCTGCACATTGCACTCGGGATCAAGCCCACAATCTGGGCATGTGCCCTTACCAGGGAATCAAACTGTGACCTCCTGGTTCACTGGTTGATGCTCAACCACTAAGCCACAATGGCTGGGCTTTACTGATTTTAGAGAGAGAGAAAGGGAGGGAGAGAAAAAG